TGGAGGTGGCCTGAGACTTCCCAGCCAAAGATTTCACCTCATCCCCACCCACCCACCCACCCACCCTGCAAGCAGCCCTGGCTTGGGCAGCTTTTGCATTCACAATAGGTCACATTGGTGTTTCCCCAGCGAAGTGGGGCTGGCTGAGCTAAGGGCACCCAGGAGCAGCCGTGAGTCCAGGTGCTCATGGCACAGTGTGTTGCTTCCTGGCGATCCCTTTTGGGTCTCCCCTCTCTCCCAGCCCAGGAGGGTGAGCAGGGCGACTCTGGGAGCTGCATGGGGGTTGGGAGTGGTGGGAGGCAGATTGTGCTCTGGGGAGGGGACCCTGGACCCTCTGGCTTGTGCTTCCCCAGCCAACGCTAATCTCTGGCTCTGTCCCCAGGGCTCCACGTGTGATGTGAAGGTGAAAAATGGCAGCACCTTTGAGGGGATTTTTAAAACCCTCAGCTCTAAGGTAAATGTTACAGGGGGTAGAAATGGCAGCTGTTAGCATGGATGGCCAGTCCTTTGGACAGCAGCAAGTTGGTATTTGGGGCAGGGCAGCGCCTCTGAGCTCTGCAGAGGATGTGTGGGGTCCCCCTTGGCAGTGGTGGGGGAGGAGCAGCGCCTCTGAGCTCTGCAGTGGGCATGCGAGGTCCCCGTGGCAGTGGTGGAGGAGGCCTGGCTCTCGAGGCAGGGCACAGCATGCAGTAACCGTTGCTGTTTGTAGTTTGAGCTGGCAGTGGATGCAGTGCACAGGAAGACCCAGGATCAGCTGGCAGGACCTAAGCGGGAGGACATTGTGGACACCATGGTCTTCAAGCCCACGGATGTCATGCTGGTGCATTTCCGCAACGTCGATTTCAATTATGCCACAAAAGGTAACGTTGGCCCTTGGTCGGGGCCTGTCCCTGCTTGGTGCGGAGTTGGGGGGTTGCCCCGCAGGGTGCAGACCTTACAGCCCATTGTCTGCTCCTAGACAAGTTTACGGACTCAGCCATCGCCATGAATTCCAAGGTGAATGGGGAGCACAAAGAGAAGGTGCTGCAGCGCTGGGAAGGGGGTGACAGCAACAGCGACGACTACGACCTAGAGTCTGACATGGTAAGAACCCTGCTGCTTGGATCCTGGGCCTGGAGAGAGGGCTTGGCTACCCACATCCCTTCCGCGGCTGCGGGCTGCAGAGCCCATCTCTCACACTTGTCCTTGTTGCAGTCTAATGGCTGGGACCCCAATGAGATGTTCAAGTTTAATGAAGAAAACTATGGAGTGAAGACAACTTATGACAGCAGTTTGTCATCCTACACGTGAGTGTGGGCCTGGGCGTGCTCTCGAGCGACTCTCGGGTCAGGCTACACGTGTCCGAGGGGTTGCTCCTTCGGAGGAGAATGGCCGTATCACACCCCACTGCGCTGAAGGAACGTGCAGCTCTCGGCAGCGAGGAGAGCCAAGTTCAAGTTCAGGCTGGCTTTCTTTAGAGTCGCTCTGCTGTTGGAATGATTTTGTTCATTCTTGTCCTGTACAAAAATTACCCTTTTCCCCATTTTCTGTGGGGATTTGTCTAGTCCATCTTCCTGCTTCCATGGGCCAGTGATTCTCAACATACTTACCGTTGGGTGCCACACATGCTTCCTGTGTGTTGTGAGCTGCAGCCACACGGTATACACGTTACCTCTACGGCCCTAAGGATGCCACAGAAGCTGCACCCTTTGGGCCAGGGCTGGAGAACCACTGCCCTGGAAATCACTCTGTTTTCTTTGCCCTTGTGGGTTGCTCTCATAGCAGAGGGGGAGAGAGAAGGCAGCTTTAAACCCACACACATGAGCAGGGGCGGGGTGTGTGGTGGCAGGGGTGGCTCAGGTTGGAGGACCTGGGATAGGTGTGGAGGGCAAGCTGGGAGTAGATGTGGAAGTTGGAACTATAGCTTTTCTAACTGCCTTCTTCTGGAGTGGATGTCGTTCCTGTCAGCTGTTTGGGAAGCAAACCAAAGCAGCCCAGGGTTCATGTGCGTGGCCCTGAGGAGCCCAGCCTTGCTCACTGTGCAGCTGCGCATGGCAGGGTGCGGCTCTCCAGCGCACACGCACAGAACACGTACACGTGTGATTCTTGGTGGAAGCAGCTCCTTGCTCGCACTTGCTTTTCATTGTGTAAAGCCTGTCACTCGTCAGTTCCAAATTGCCCTGGGACACTGACATGCTGCCCTTGCTGGGGCTGTCCTCTGCTCCCGAAGCGCTGCTTCCTCCCCAGCTGCAGCAGTGCTAATCACACCAAGCAGGGAGCTTGCTTTTTCCATTGCCAGTGTGCAAGGGGACTTCCCCCTGCTCCGATGGGCGCATCATTTCCAGAAACAGGCTCCCTCCAGCAGAGACCAGAGCAGCAATGGGAAGGCTTCAGACAGCTCGGAGCCACAGCGGTGTCCTGTGCTGACCCTGAGGCCTGTCTGTTCCTGTCCTAGCGTCCCTCTGGAGAAGGATAACACGGAGGAGTTCCGGCAGCGGGAGGCCCGGGCAGCCCAGCTGGCCCGGGAAATTGAGTCAAGTCCCCAGTACCGCCTGCGCATTGCCATGGAGAATGATGATGGCCGGACGGAAGAGGAGAAGCACAGCTCTGTGCAGAGGCAGGTCTCCAGCAGAGACAGCCCCAGCTTGGCCTCCAGGTGAGAGAGGGATGCCTGGGGCTGGGGTAAGGAGGCCATGGGGGCCAGTGTTAACCCCCTGTTCCATCTGTGTCTGCAGGGAGAGCAAGTATGTCCCGCTGCCACAGCGCGTCAGAGAGGGCTCGCGAGGAGGTGTCCGGTGCAGCAGCTCCCGGGGCGGGAGACCAGGGGTGGGGTCCCTACCTCCCCGTGGCAGCACGCACCATCCAGACAGCAACTCTAGCCCTGTCCCGGAGCAGCGAGGGATCAATGGAGGTGAGAGCTGAGAGGCATCCTGGCTCTGGCGCTAACAGAGCCTGAGGCTGGTTTCCAGGGCCTTCCAGCCTGGAGTTCTGGGAGGCCAGCGACTGTCCAAGCTGCTGCACCTGTCCTGTAACCCCTTCCTGTGCTTGCTTGCTTTCCAGGGCCCTCTCGAATGTCTCCAAAGTCCCAGCGTCCCATCCGGGGTGCCAAGACCATGCCTTCCCCATCAAGCCGCCCGGTAGAGGTCTCAGCAGCTCCCCCAGCAGGTGGGCGGCAGGGCCTCCAGTCTGCTCTGACGAGGAGCCCATGAGCAGGAAGGGTTAGCCTGCAGGGCGCCAAGAGGGGGCTTGTAATGCCCGAGAGCCCTAGTCTGTGTGGCTGTCCCCCTGAGGGAGGGAGGGAGGGTTAGGACCCACATCTTCACCAGTCTCTCACCAGAGTTCCCTTTCTCCCTGCAGTGGGCCGCATGTACTCTCCTCGCTCTCCCAAGTCTGCCTCAGCCACTCCGCTGTCTTCCCAAGAAGCTCCAGTGGGATCGGCTGTCCCAGCAGCGCCTGCGTCCCCCTCAGAGGCCAGAAGTGGTCTGGAATCAAGTGTTTCCCCAAATCCCCCTTCTCCCAAAGTAGCAGCCCCTGCACCAGCCACTGCTATGGAGGGTAAGGCCCAGGGAGCAGCGTGGGGCTTCTGGGGACTTGTGGCAACAGATTAGAGGGGCCTTGGAGCTGTGGCAGGGCAGTGCTCATGCCTTGAGGAATTTCCCTTCTCTCCTCTCCCCCCAGGGAAAGATGTTCCCACATCTGCGGCTAAAGACCCTGGCAGAACCTTGGAAGTGACGGGGCCCTGTGAGCTCAGCAAGTCAGCCAGCAAAGGTGTGTGTGTCTGGGAGCCAGCACTAGCTACCCTGTGGTGTGTCCTGAGGGGGCCTGCGCCCTCCGTGGGAGCAAGCCAGGTTCAGGGGCTTGGGGGCAGGAGGTAGAGGTTGCCCAGTGTCTGAGGCTGTAGCAGCCCCTCAGCTGGCCTCTCACCCAGGGCTGTTCCCACAGCAGGGCTGCAGAGTGAGCAGAAGCGGACCCAGCTGGAGGAGCTGCGCAAGTTTGGGGCCCAGTTCAAGGTGAGGCCTGGCGGCAGCAAGGAAACCAAGAGAGATGGGTGTGTCTGGGCTGGGCTCACCTCTGGCATCTGGCTTCCCCACAGCTCCAGCCGAGTGGCTCTCCAGAGGCCAGCCTGGAGTCTTTCAGTGCCAGGCCTAAGGAGCCTCTGGAGGGCAAGGACAAGGCCCTGGAGCCGGGGATCTGCGAGGGGCCCGAGGAGGCGCCCGCCATCAGCATGGTGCCGAAGCCCAGTGGGACCAGCCTGGAGTTGCTGCCGGAGAGTGGCAAAGAGGAGAAGGGGCTTTGTGAGGGGGCTGAGCAGCAGCTGGCCAGTCCCCCGGGGAAGGGCGAGCCCGAGGACAAAGAGGAAGGGCCTGTGTCTGAGTGAGTCTGCTGTGTTGGCACTGGGGAGGAGGTTGGGGGCATGGTAGGGTGCCTGAGCGGAAGCCAAAGGCTCTTCAGGGTTTTAACCTGTCTGTCCTGCCTTGCTTTCAGGCAGGTGAAGAAATCGACTCTGAATCCCAATGCCAAGGAGTTCAACCCCTCAAAACCACTGTTGTCTGTGGTGAGTGCCAGCCCCTCCATTGGCTCCAGCCGCTGCTGGCCTCGTTGCTGGGGGTGTGGCCAGGCTCCATGCTCATCTGCTCTCTCTCTGCTTCCAGAACAAATCGACCAGCACCCCCACCTCACCGGGCCCTCGTGCCCATTCCACTCCCTCCATCCCAGTGATCACGGCTGGACAGACCGGCATGTACAGCCCCCAGTACATCTCCTACATACCTCAGATCCACATGAGCCCTGCGGTCCAGGTCAGAGGAAAATGGGGGAGCGGGCTGGGCAGGCCCTGTGCAGAAGGGGAGGAGAGGGCTGCCGGGGGCGGGAGCACACTGGGAAGGACTGCAGAAGTTGGGTAAATGTGACTGGGGGAGCTGGGCCCTGCGTGGGGAAGGAAGACAGCAGCTCTGCTTGTTCTCCGATGACCCCCTGCTGTGCCCCTCTCATTGCAGGCCCCCCAGATGTACCCGTATCCTGTCTCCAGCTCTGTGCCTGGCCAGCAGGGCAAGTACCGAGGGGCCAAAGGTGAGCCTGGCATTTCCTGGGGGGCACATTCCAGCTGCCGCCCGACCTGCGATGGAGGGGCTGTCTAAACCATGGGCAGAGCTCCCCTCCCTGCTGGCTAGACCAATGGGGCAGGAGTGGGATGGGAGGCAGCAGGGATTGACGGGGAGCTGCTGTATTACTGTGGGAGGCGGGTCCCTCACCATGTGGCCTGGGGGCTTCTGGGGTCAGTTCTGAGCTGCTGGCTCCTTTTCCACAGGTTCCCTCCCGCCCCAGCGCTCCGATCAGCATCAGCCAACATCTGCGCCCCCCATAATGCAGGCGGCGGCGGCGGCAGGCCCCCCGCTGGTTGCAGCTACGCCCTACTCCTCCTACATTTCCTATAATCCCCAGCAGTTCACAGGGCAGCCCACCCTGATGCAGCCCATGGCTCACTACCCCTCTCAGGTAAGGGTCACAGGGCGGAGTTGGGCAGTGAGTGTGCAGGGATGGTCCCTCTAACAGCCATGGGGCACGGCTCTTCCCTTGCAGCCTGTGTTTGCTCCGATGCTGCAGAGCAACCCCCGCATGATGACATCCGGCAGCCACCCCCAGGCCATCGTGTCCTCCTCCACACCCCAGTACCAGCCTACAGAGCAGCCCACGCCCCAGACACTCTATGGTGAGTCTGCATGCTGGGGGCTGGGACCCTCCAGAGCTGGGATCTGTTCTGCTTAGGGGGCTGATGGGGGTGTGTGTCTCCCTCTAGCTACAGTTCATCAGTCCTACCCTCACCATGCGACACAGCTGCACCCCCACCAGCCCCAGCCAGCCACCACTCCGACAGGGAGCCAACAGCAGGCCCAGCACGCTGCCCCTAGCCCTGTGCAGGTGAGAGGGTGCTCCCCCAGGGCTGAGGAGGAGGGTAGTGGGTGAGCTCCCCTGTCCGTGCTCACTGTGTTCCTATGTCCTGGCATAGCACCAGGCCGGGCAGCCGCCCCACCTGGCCAGTGCTCAGCAGCAGCAGAACCTGTACCACACAGCCACGCTGACAGCCACGCCGCCCTCCCTCACGCCGGGGCCCAACGCCCAGTCCCCCCAGAACAGCTTCCCACAGCAGGCTGTCTACGCCATCCACGCCCACCAGCAGCTGCAGCACAGCTACACCAACATGGCCCACGTCACCCAGGTAGGTAGGAGGCAACTGAGCTGTGGGTATGGCCACTGCGCTGGCCCCACCCACCAACACTTGCCTGCTCTCTCCCACAGGCCCATGTCCAGACTGGAATAACAGGAGCACCACCCCCCCACCCTGGGGCGCCTCACCCTCCCCAGGTCATGCTGCTCCACCCCCCGCAGACCCATGGGGGGCCCCCCCAAGGCGGCGTGCCACAGAGCGGGGTGCCCACCCTCTCGGCCTCCACACCATCTCCATACACCTATATAGGACACCATCAAGGTCAGTGGTGGGTGTGTGCGCTGGGCCAGACTGGTACCAGAGGAATCCCTCCATGGGTGTAAGGTGCAGCTGGCTGGCCAGGTGTCACATGGCTCGGGTGCTGGTGGTGCAGCAGGGAGGGTTGGGCATGTTCATGGTGCACTGTGCTTCTCTTCCCCCACTTGCCTTAAGCCCAGGGCAGGCCCCGTGGGGGGGAGGGGGGGTGCAAGAGCAGGCTGGAATGGCCTGGTTTGGGGGAGGGGGTCATCAGGCTGCAGCCCTGTCTCCTTGCAGGGAGTCCAGTCCTGCTTTGCTCACTAACCATCTCTGCTCTCTTTCTAGTTCAGTCTCACCCATCCCAGCAGCTCCCATTCCACCCCCCTGGAAACTGAAGCCTCGATTCCTGACTGTGAACTGAACTCCCCCTGCCGGGATCCGGTTTGCTCCTTGCCCCTCGTGTGCGCACCGGCCTGGCCGCCGGGCCTTGCAGTGGAATCCCCTTGGGGAGCCACGGCTGGGGGCGGGGCTTTACCCAGCACCTTCTTTTGTTGAGTTGCAGACTGCGCCGTGGCGAGTGCCACCTGCCCCCGGCTCCTGGAGCCGCCAAGGGTTTCTTTTCTATTATTTATAACTCCAATCGGGCTGTTAAACAGAGTGTTGGGCTCCCTCCCCTAGTAACTTGAGCACAGGAGCAGACCAGACTGAGGAACGTGGACTTTTTATTACATAAAAATATTTAAAAAGTGAAAAAAAATAAAATAAAATTTTAAACTAACTCCATGGTTGGTGTTGAGGTGAGTCTCTGGCATGCCAAAGGCAGGGGCCTAGGCTGCGCTCTGGCTGTCCCTCTTCCCGCCCAAGAACAAGATGCAACCCAGCCATGATTCCACACCTTTATTAACAACAGAAATGAACAGGAGGAGCAGCAAGCCACAGGCCCTGCTCCCCCCCCCCCACTGGAGAGGGCTGTGGGCAGGACACTCCCAGCGGAGCAGCTCTAGGTGAACATGAGCCAGCCTGGGGCAGCAGTCCTAGCCAGGCTCTTTCCTCCCTCCCCAGCATGGGACATGGGCAGAACTAGCTGCCTCCCTCTATTTGCAGCGCTGGTCCAGCCCAGCCTTTACGCCCAGCCCTTCACATCATCCAGATCCACCTCCAGTGTCTTGGTGACCACGCCTGTGCCAATGGTGCGGTTGGTGTCCCGCAGCGTGAAGCGCTGTCCCTCCTCCAGCACCATGGGCTGCCGCAGTGTGAGGGTCAGGGCTGTGTCCTCACCAGGCATCACCATCTCCTGCAGTGGGAGAGTGAGAGCAGGGGATGGGCACCGCTAAGGAGCCAGGTCCTGTCCCTGCAGTGAGCCCAGGGGGGGGGGGCTCCATACCTTTTCGGGGGGGACAGTGACCCGACAGGCCATGTCCCACGTGAGGGAGAACATGACAGGCGTGTAGTTAGAGAAGAAAGGCTTGTGCCGTCCACCCTCCTCCTTGCTGAGGATATACACCTGGGGAGTGGAGAGAGGAGAGTTACAGCCCAGCAGCCCACCTCCCCTGCCCCTCCCAGCCCCTGTCACTCCCCCACCTGGGCCTGGATCTTCTGATGGGGCTTAATGGAGCCGGGCTTGCACATCACCATGCCACGCCGCACATCTTCCCGCTTCAGCCCCCGCACCAGCGCACCCAGATTGTCTCCAGCCTCCGCCCGCTCCAGGCTCTGGTGGAACATCTCAATGCCTGTGGGGGAGGGATGGGGTGAGCAGGGGTCCCCAGCCCCCAGAGGGAGCAGGGGAGGGGTTCCATTAGCAGCACCTCCTACCTGTTACCACAGAGCGCAGGTTGCGGTTGTGCCCCAAAAACTCACACTCATCCCCCTTCCTGACAATGCCACGCTCCAGCGTCCCCGTCACCACAGTCCCACGCCCTGCAAGGGCACAGGGTTAGTGCCACAGCGTTCTGGGGAGGGGTCCCTAGAAGGGCGTGGAGCAGGGACCTGCCTTACCCGGGATGGAGTAGATGGATTCAATGGGCAGCAGGAACGGCTTGTCCAGCTCCCGCGTGGGCAGTGGGACGTGCGTGTCAACCGCGTCCAGCAGCTTCAGGATGGAGTTCAGGCCCAGCTCCGGGTTGCGGTGCTAGAAGGGGGGAGAAGAGGGCATTAGCATAGGCAGCAGATGGGTGAGGCACTGCCAGGGCAAAGGGAACTCACCTCCAGGGCACAGAGGGCAGAGCCCACGATGACAGGAGTCTTCTCCCCATCATAGCCAAACTCTGAGAGCAGTTCCCGGATCTCCAGCTCCACCAGCTCCAGCATCTCCTGGTCCTCCACCACGTCTGCCTTGTTGACGTACACCACGATGTGCTGCACCCCGATCTGAGGGGGCAACAGGGTGAGGGTCATGCCAGTTGGGCCCTGGGGGATGCCCCCACTTGCAGCCCATGCCCAGGGACCCCTGGGGTAGGAGTAGGGCGTGCTTTGTACAAGTCTGCCTCGTGAGGTATCAACAGCAGTACCCTGGAGGCTAGTCCATGCGAGTCTTCCACGGAGAGCGAGGGAGTTTTGCTGTTACTGAAACACGGCATGAGGCTAGGAGACGAGACGTGCTGAGGGTCCTTGAAGGGAAATCCACACCCCCAGGGACTGACTATGCAAGGAAGAGCCCACCAGCCCTCTCACCTGTTTGGCCAGCAGCAAGTGCTCTCGGGTCTGTGGCATCTGGCCATCAGTTGCCGCCACCACAAGAATGCAGCCGTCTAAGGGAGCGGTGCCAGTGATCATGTTCTGGAAGAAAGGGATGGCAGCACTCAGGCCACGTATGGGGCAAGGGAATGCGCTATTGCTGCCCCACGCCTGGTGGTGAACTCCTCAGGGTGACATGCAGTCCCAGGCCACAGCAGGGGAAGAGTGTAACCACCACCCCCTGCCTCCTCACTGCTTCTAGCCAGCCCCATTGCTTGCCTGCTCCCTGCCCCTTGCCCAGCCAACGGGAGTGTGGGGGTGTGCATGTGCGGATGGAGGAGTGTCTCAAAGGGGCACATTCAGGGAGTGGTGAAGAAAGCAGAGTTCTGGGAAGCGTGCCCTCAAGGCAGCAGCCAGGCTGCCCAGCAGTACCATGACTCCATAGCCTTGGAGGTCTCACAAGCAGCCCCCAGCCCTCACCTTCACGTAGTCAGCGTGGCCGGGGCAGTCGGTATGGGCATAGTGCCGGTTGGCCGTAGCATACTCCACGTGGGAGGCGTTGATGGTGATGCCACGAGCCTTCTCCTCTGGCGCGTTGTCAATCTCTTCATACTTCTTGAACTTGGTATCTCCAGCCTCAGCCAGGACTGGAGGCGGGGGCAGAAAGAGGGGGGTGAGTAACCAGCTGGCTAGGGGAGGGGGCTTGAGAGCCAGGGTGCCTGGGTTCGATCCTTCTCTGGGAGGAGAGCCAGTGTGTCCCAGCAGGGAGGGCTGGGTTCAATGCCTAGCTCACCAATGACTTCTACGACCTTGGGCCAGTCCTCTCCACTTGGCTCCTGCGTGCACAGTCACCTGTTCAGCCTGGGAGCCCCTGGGACAGGAGTCACCCTTGGGCCTGGGCAAAGCCCAGCACGACGGAGTCCGCTCCTGGCCAGGAGCCTCTTAATGCAATCAATGGGGCCAGGGGCATAGGAAACCCCTGGCCACCCAACTCCCCACCCAGAACCCCCCCCACTCACTCTTGGTGATGGCAGCCGTCAGGGTGGTCTTGCCGTGGTCCACGTGCCCAATGGTGCCCACGTTGACGTGGGGTTTGTCCCGCACGTAGGTCTTCTTGGCCTCGACAGCAAAGCTGCGCAGCAGGAGGGGACAGAGGTGCGGGGTAGGTCTGGGCAGGGACACCTAGGAGCACAAGGAGCCTTGGCATGAGTACATCCCCATGCCCCCATCAACCCACGGATCCCACCTGGGTTCCACCCCCCACATCTCATCCCCAAACCAGGCTTCAACCCCACCCGATAGCCCCCACATCCCTACCCAGTCACCCCACCCCCCATACCCCCACAT